GTTCAGAACAGGCGAATATTGATAGCATTAAACCTATGAGGTCGTTGTTTCTTCGATTTCCGGAAGCCCGCTTCTCTGAAACGCGGACCACGTGGCATTCGAATGAATTGCTGAAAAAGAGCATACAATGATGGAAATGAATTTGAGGTGAGTTCAATGGAACGTCACGGTAAAAAATATGTTGCCAGCGCTCTATAAAAGTAGATGCACGAAATTGTCAATATTACAATGCTTTTCACTTTCATAGTTCTGTGCTCCCTCCTGGTTAACATCAACGCTGACTGTAAGTGCAGCTGTTTTCTGTTACGAAGCTTACCTTCTAAATTCGATATTCCTTCTTGTCACTGGAGAGCAACGCTCACTCAAGAAATTTCAATCAGAATTACCTTTCCAGCTGGCTGCGTTGACTACCATGGATTGAGTGAGTATTACATACAGCGCAACCGACAATTCAATCCTAGCCTGGTGGGTATATTTCCATTTCTTTAATATTAACCATTCTGTGAGAATAGAATGGGATTCGAAAGAATATTACACCAAGTAAATTGTTCGACGAGCTCCAAACACTTACTGTTCTAAGGCAACCTGTATTCATGGAACTTCCACATCATTTCATTGAAGCATTTTTCTGCCTTCAGGTTTGGGCCAACGATCTTGCAAGTGAGGCCTGTGACGTAGCAAAGGGTGAAGCCAATGTATTTGCAGGACACTTCAAAGTTGAGGCGGAAAAGTCGGTGTTTAATCATATGAAATTTTTTCTTTATTATCTACAAACTTGCGGCGTTAAGGAAATTCCCGGCCGGTCGGAACTGCCCGCCAAAGAGATGGCCCGACAAACTCTCTTCAGATTAAAAGACTCCGCCTATAATGTAAGTAATTATACCCTCATGTTCCCATGCTCTTTCTTATCGATTCTATCAAGGTGGCTCGAATGACATCGCCAAGACCGGAGTTTGGATGCAACAGTCACTACAAAGACAATATCATGAAAGTGGTGTGCCTCTACAGGGATGAAGAATGAGTTTTTGCTGGATTTACGACATGAATGAAATTTTCGCAAGAGCTCTTCTCAAAGCAGATTGTGTCAAGTGTAAAATTAAAGCAGCATCGTGCACTTAGAATCTTTATTTCTCCTCTCCACAGCGCCATTGGCAATGACCGAACTTATCACGATGTTTCGTGTAAATTATGCGGTCACACGTGTGCACAGTTTGGCTTATGTCTGCTTTTTTTATTTCGCTTCTTAAGCATGCTACACATTGACACGTTGTGTTGTGTGAATGCAGTAAGTATTGCAAAAGTGTTGCATGTGCTTAGACACATTCTTCTACTACTTATTAGCTGAACACACGTGATTTTGCTGCAACGTCTGCTTTAAGGCGGACAGCACCCACCAACAAAGTTGAGTAACCCCTATATATAGTCACCAGTCGGATCGCTCGGCTGACGCCGAGCTCTCCTCCTTCTCTTTAGCTCGGCTTCGCCGAGCTGGCCTGCCTTCGGCAGGCGCACATAACTGAAACGCAACTTTTTTGATAGTGGGCTGCTCATACAGCGCTGTAGTGATCGAATCGTAACAGATAGAGCAACGCTGCGGATCCTGCTTTCCTAAGCACAAGATTATATTTGCACTTACACACAGAGCAATATTAATCTCTTAG